AGAACAGGAAATGGAGCCCAAATCTGTCTTCCTCTTAGGGATTCCCTTTTAACACAGCACTTCCCATCTGTTAGAAATCAGAATATTGTTACTGTAGCTTGATCCTACATGATTACTCCAGGTTCTCTCTCTCTCTCTCTCTGTACTGTTTGACCCTCTGTTCTCTCACCATGCAAGAGTGTTTCACTATTTCTACCGGCCCTATTACATTACCCTACCTCAGCAATACTCAAACACGGTGTTGGCTGTGGAAGAGAAAAACGAAGACTGGAAGAAAGGCAGAGGGAGACAGAAATAGAAAGAAAATGGATCCACAAATGGACTGTCCTCCTGCTAATAAATAAGGAGTGATGAGAGGACGGAGAAGAGGGGATGAAAATGGTGACTGGTCAAAAAGAACTTACAGTCGTTCGTTCACACAGAACGTGTTTTTCCATTCCACTGCGCTGCTTTTATATGTAAACATGCACTAGTCTGATGTGTTTGACCGTCGCACTCCCGCCTTTTGCAGCGTCCCGCTTGAGAAATGCCATTCTAAAAACGCGGCGCTCAAGTTAAAAGTTCAATTCTTAACCTCGCGTTTTTTTTTTATAATAATAAAACGAGTGACATGACGTAACAAAATTAGCATTATAATCTGTGATGACAGCTTTATTCATTATGATCTTGAATATAAAGTAGTTTTGGTCCTATATTGGTCAATGGGTTTCATAGTATTGCCCCAAAACCGGACATATTATGCCTTCCTATTGAATATATAGCAACTAAATAGAACAGCTTTTGTATCTTATTGTTTCATTATGATAGGAATGTTCTTTTTTGATTTATCGCATCAATTGTTTTGTTACCTAATACAACAGTGGTCTTGGACTATTCTGCCATCTATAAACCTTACGTAGCTCTGCCCCTTTTCAGCGCTGCACTCATAGTCTTTTATTTTCCCGTTTGTATTTTTGCGGTGCGTTCCAAACGGGATATATCACCCTCCGAAGGGCACTTTGGAGTAAAAACAATCATGGCTGCCATATTGAAGAGTCGTTCCAAACCGAAGTGCTCAAAACTGGCCACTTCAAAGGGCCCTTCGGAATGAAGGATTTCGAAGGGTACAACTGACGGCCCCTCATGATTCTTTGCGCTGATTATTTGCATGATGACGGTGCCTCCATATGGGCACGGGATGATGACACAGAAGGGCACTTCAAGGAACAGTTGTTTGGTCCCCTACACCCTTCAACCCTTCGAAGCTCTCACTCCGGAGGGTAAACCCTTTGAAGGGATCAGGGCATCCTTCTGAATGGAATGCTGGGCTAGTCTACAGACATTTGTTAAAGGGGTCATCGGATGCCCATTTTCCACAAGTTGATATGATTCTGTAGGGTCTTAATGAAAAGTCTATAACATACTTTGGTTACAATTTCTCAATGGTAGTGTAAAACAACACCCTTTTTACCCTGTCAAAAACAGCTCTTTTCAGAGCAAGCTGTTTTCTTGCATGCCGCTTTAAATGCAAATGAGCTCTGCTCACCCCGCCCCTCTCTTCCGAGCCGCTCTCTAAGAGATAGTAAACTTTAGCCACATTCATCGTGAAACTTGCTAACTAGCACGTTATTAGGAAAGCCGATTTGCAAAGATTCATAAAAAAACGTATACTCACTTATTCTGTAGGTGAAGCTGGATCACAAATGATTCGCACAAACATAAATGCATTTAGGCAGATCAGGGGAGCATTCCCTTCAGAAACAAACGTAATCAAACGTAAAATCATTCTTGTCTACATCTGCTCCTGCGTCGAAAACAGTGGTGGACTAATGACAGCTCACTCAGGGCGGTCTAAGGTTAAACGCTAGTGTCAATCAACTATCGTGGGAGGACCTGGTTCTGTGTGATGTCACACAGACAAGAAGCTGAGAATGGCTTGATTTGAGAAAGGGGTAATGATTTTAGTAGATTAAAAAAAAAACACTGGGTGGATTTTTATCATTATAGGGTGGTTGTGTACACACACTGCCAACACACATTGTTCAAACAGCATGTTAAAGTGCATTTCGCATCCAATGACCCCTTTAATACATCCGCTTTGAACATTACAATGCTCATTTATTAACTATACAATAAGTAAATCCACTTAACCAGCTAATTACTCTTCAACAGCGATGCTATAGAGCAGTGGTTCTCAAACTTCTCCATGAAGTACCCCCAGCCCTGCACATTTTGTATGTCTCCCTCTTCTATCACACCTGATTCAACTCATCAGCTCATTAGTGGAGACCGCAAGACCTGAAGTGGATGTGTCAGATATAGGGAGACATACAAAATTTGCAGTGCTGGGAGTACTTCATGGAGAGGTTTGAGAACCACTGCTATAGAGCTACCGCAAAAATGGAAGTTCAAAGACAAAAATCTAAAGATGACTGACCACTTGTTTCTCTGATGCATAAGGTCTATAAGTGTGAATACTGAACACCGTCATGTAATCTCAAAATAAGTAGGGCGAGGGCAAGTAGAAAGTTTTTTTTTTTTTTGTGGTCACTGTTGTGACTTAACTAGTCTTTGTTTCATATATGTAAGCAACATTGAAATTTTTTTCTTTTCATATTAATTTATTTAGGTGTAAAAGAGGTTTCTCCTGAAGGGACAGACACAAAGAAACACAAAACAGACAATAGTTGACATACAATCTAGGCAAACTTGAGAACAGTCTTGATATATTGTTGGACTCTCTTCTGAAACTCACGCATGAGATATTTTCTCAGTAGAAACATTTGAGAAGCAGGACACTTACAAGTCTACAAGAAACAACTGATATATTAAAGTGATCTCATTTGTGGTGGGTGTGACTGACAGTTTGAAAGTCAACATGAAATAATATTTTACTTACATAATAGCCAAAATAGAATACACAATGATGAAAAATATATGGCAGGACAAATTTATGGCAAACATTTAAGAAATTGGAATGATATTGATATGCGATTGATCATGAAAATTATTCAATCATTTTTTGACAGCCTAGTGAATACACATCTATTCTTCAATGTTATGCATACATAAAGCATAGCCTACTATTTCTAGCACATATGAACAAGTGTAGGCAACATGTGTCCTAATAATACAAGCCCATAACACTGTCTGGGAAACAATCTCTAGATTCAAAGAAGCCCTGTCAGTCAAGTCTTAACACCCTCCTCCTCTCATTTTGTGAGAACATATGCGCGAGCAGTAAACATAGGCATGTGTGTAACATGTAGGTTGAGTTTTTGGAGCGTAGCACTGAATGGCCTTGAATTGAGATCATGACACAGTCGCTATGTCTTGCTGAAGTGGCAAAGTGAAACCTCAGACACACACACGATCCCTGGAGCTGAAAGCAAAAAACAAAACATCACAGCTGCCATGACCTTGAACTTAATGTAGCGTCTATGTGTACGTATATGATTGCAATGTTGTAAGGTTCATCTTCTTGGATTAAAACTGCCTGGACATTGTTGAAATCCCCAGGCTTAAGGGACCTTAGAAGTACATTTTACTGTAATACTTACAGAACAGTAAGAGTCTAATACACAGTCCCATAACAAAACTGGCCTGGACAAAAGAATATAGGCTAGTGGTGCTATATTTATGTATATATATATATATATATATATATATGACTGTTATATACAAGAGAGCATCTTGAGAATTTATCTGTTATAAGATTGTTAAACCATTTGTGTCTCTGCAGAAGGTCTGTTCTTTTTGCTGCCACTCCACGGTCACTCATTATTACTGCATCTCAATCCTTCACAAGCCTTTAATTCTGCTGATGTTTCTTAGTGGAATAGTTCAACCAAAAAGTAAATAAAAATTATCTTCAGCCTCATGCAATTTTAAAGCATCTAGCTGTTAATTTTATTTTATTTATGTGTGTGTGTGTGTGTGTGTGTGATAATAGTATTTTAACAATGAAAAAAGGTAACATTGTGGCCATATCAAAATTCTGTTTTTTTTTAGCGACCTGAATTGGCAACATTGGTTCAACCAATAGCGTGGCTTATGGGTGGGACTATTTGTTTAGCCGACCAATGATAGCTTGGAGCAGAACATTCAATATTTTTGCAACTCCATCCATTTGGTGACACTAGCATTGTGCAGAAATTATAATTTCAAGAATTTGCTTCTTGAGACCCATGGAAGAAATTAACAGATTATATTATTTCATCTTTAAATACTTTAAGCCTGTGTTCACAACCGAGTAGGCCTATGTAGTGCAACAGTGACTATGTTTACATGGACATCAGTAATCTAATTATTAGTTAGTGGAAGCTAGAGATTACGGTTTATAAAGTTTTAAATATGGATATTTTTTGTACAAAAACGCATCGATTCGCTACAGGAGGCCTTTGTTCACCCCCCGTATCCGTGCGAGACACTTTTTTTTATGGATGGGCACGTTTTATTTTATTTCTTTTGGACTGAAACACTGCAACACCCGCTGACTGCAATGATAGAGTTTGGAATAGCCAGGACATATATAAGCCAGGACATCAATATAACTCTGACTTGATTCGTCTGAAAGAAGAAAGTCATATACACCTAGGATGCCTCGGGGGTGAGTAAAACACAGCCTAATTTTCATTTTTGGGTGAACTAACCCTTTAAGGTGTTTACATGTCTATACTGCACTTCAGTAATGTGACTAAAATAGGAATACTCCAAATGTCTTAATTCGATTTCTGTTTACTTCAATTATGACTTTAGCCGGATTAAGGTAATCAAAAATCTCTGTTTACATGGTAGATTCTTAATCAGAGTATTGTCTTATATCGTATTAAAATCGGAGTATTGTTGTCCATGTAAATGTACTCAATGACCTGTCTCACCTGATGACTTGTAGCAGGTGAGCTGCAGGTGAATTCCTTTAACTCAAGAATTAATCAGGCGGACTGCCGAACTGAAAGAGAAAAAGATTCAACTACACTACGAGAATGAAATTTGAATTATTAACATTACGGGTTGGTTTCTTTCTTTCTTCCTTTCTGTCGTTCTTATTCAACAGTACAGAGTTTAAGTGGGCGTTAAACAGGACCCGTTCTTTCATGATGCACCTCTTGGTCTTTGCGTCGCGTCTCGCTGAGCGTTTTTTATTAGCCTTATTACTCGCGTCAAGTAAAAAAAAAAAAAAACACAATTCAAATTTGCTTCCACTTGAAACATTTTAAACGCCTCTTCATACCGGTGTTCTCCATTCTGTTGTTTCTGAACCCAATAACGGCGCTTTAGTTTGTGAAGTCCTCATGCTAAAGTCCCCCACCGGGACTCTTTCAGTTCCCCTTTGGTTTACGTGCAACTGTAAACCCTCCTCAGAAAACCACCAGAAGCTTGACTTCCACTTTACTCAACTAATCACACTCCGTCTGTCTCTGTCTGTGAGCGTCTGAAGAGCTCTGAATCCCCCATCATCCAGCATGTCTCTCCCGCAACAGCTGCGCGATGAAAGGTGAGCGAAATCATCTCTTTATTATTATTTTCTCGTCGTGAATATTCATGATATCAAAGCCGAGGTTCCTGCGTCGTAGTAGAGTCGCTTTCAGGGCGTAGTGTTTGTGTACTATTCCAGTTTAACTTGTAACTGTACTTTAAAATACTATGCTGTGGTGTAATTATTATTCTATACAGTAGTAGGCTATACTGTATTGGATGGAGTGTACTATGGAACAACAGATAGTCTCAGTTTAGTGTAGTTGACTAAACCTATACTATACTAGACAAGACTAGTCCACCATGTCATAACCCTATGTGCAGGCCTACATTTTCAGTATTTAACACAAGTTTGTTTATGACATAATGCAAATTATTCAGAAAATATTTAAATTTATCTCACAATTTAAAAATATAAATAAAATTGTGGGTATTGATTTATCCACATAGAAAAGTATTCTCATCTCAAAAAGTATAATTTAGACAACTATAAAACATTTGATTTTTGATTATTATTATTAGTAGTAGTAGTAGCAGTAGGCCTAGTAGTAGTAGTGGTAGTAGTATTAATGTAAGTGTTTCAACAAAGAATATAATCTTTATATTGTGTGTACACACACAAAAAAAAATGCTTTTAATGCTGGAGCAGATTACTTTATTGTAAATTCATTACTGTAACATTGATTAAAAAACATATTTCAGGGCATATTTTCTGTGCTAATCAAAATGTTTGTAACATTTGTTTACCTGACAGTGATTTCGACCAGCTTCCAGACAACATCCCAGTCACTGCAACCATTGCTGACATTGAGGAAAAGAAAGGTTTCATTGTTTACTATGTGAGTTTCCCCAGACCTGAACCCCTGTAGTTGACCTTTCCTCTAGTCTGCCTGGCTTTTATAATTTGTCTGCCTTATAGTCTGCCTATTACCTGTGATTTATGTTTAACCAACTGCATCCAACTACAAAATACTATTAAATGCCATATGTATAAAATGCCAGTCTTAAATATTGTCAAGGGGACACATTCTTGCATTCTTTAAAAAAATTTTTTTTTACTTGTTTGTCTATGTACACACCTGTCAGCCTGATGTCTTTTGCCATTGTGTCACTTTCAATGTTTTTAAATTTCATAAACTACTGCATAACATAACTTATGCATACTGCATAAGTTTTTGACTTGTTTGTTCTTTATCACCTTCTTACAGAGGTTCGTAATTGAGGTGAAGGCCAAAGGCAACAGTAAATACCTGATCTACAGAAGGTATCGTCAGTTCTTCGTTCTGCACCAGAGTTTGGAGCTTAAGTACTCAGCTGAAGCCCAGCCAGGATACTACACCTGCCAACTACCTACCCTGCCAGGTCTGTGACTAAGCCGCTGTTGCACAGCCTCATCTAAAACAACAGCGATGTAGAGCCCTGGGGAAATCTAGGTTCATTAGCACAGGCCACATACACGCTGCAGCTAAATACCGTTGTCCTGTCTCTACTACTGTAGGTGCTTAAAGGGGATGTCTAATGCTATTTCATGCTTTCTGACTTATTTACACTGCTAAAGAGTTAGATTCTCATGCTAAACATGACCTCTCATGAAGTCTCAAAAAATTTGATGTATGACGGAATATTTCACTCCAAATACACTCCTTCAGTTTCTAAAAGTTTTTTTTTTCTTTTCTCGAGTATGGCCCTGTATGACGTCATAAAGGGCGGAATTCCTTTTATGGGCACTTCTCCCACATGCACACGTCAACCAGAGTGAGAGCAAGAGCACACCCATCAATATTGTCGGCAGTGCTGCACAGGACTTGCTCGGGATTTTACATATTGCTTATGACCACAAAATCAACAATGTCACCAAAGAAGTGTGTTTTTGGTTGTGAGGGAAAGATAACCTTGTTCAGCTTCCCAAAGAACCCAGCGTTAAGGGAATTATGTCGATGTCACAGCTTGCAGACGATTGTTACGCAAAAGCTTTGCATGCTCGTGACTCTTTAGCTCCACCCACAGCACTTCTCCCAGAGCTTGACTGTTTTCGGAGAGAAAAGGTACAGCTTTGTCTTTCTTTTATAAGTCTGATAAAACTAGGGCTGACCTCGAGTAAGGATTTTTCTGGTCGACTAGTAGTCGTTCATTTGAAGCATTAGTCGACTAATCACACGTTTATTAATAAACCATTTAAATCATTATAATGAGCCTTTAATTGCCTACATAGCCTAATAAGCGCACAAATACACGCATAAAGCTTGCCACAGCGCACCGGCAGAAGTAATGGTTATGAATGTGTCAGTGAAAATCAGTAAGGAGACTGCATTAACATTTTAATAATTTGATAAACTAGTGTTTTCTGTGTTTTCAGCTTCAGAGATGAAGTCGGTGACACTGAATCGTCATCTCCACAGTAGTGGATGCGCCTGTATGCATGTTTCATATGGATTACATAATCTGAGAATGTGTTTTCCATTTGAATTGGTTCATTTGAAAGTAGACATTTCACTCTCTATAGATATATTTTGAATGTCTGTAAGGCAAAGATATACACAGAGTTTAGCGCTCAAGTTCACAGAGACCGAGACGGCAGTAAGCGCATAATGTTTGCTTTCATTATTTTACAAAAGCACGGTATTGTGAGTGCACACAAATAAACGTAGAGTCTTTACAGATTCGAAAGCTGATTTACTCTTATCTGTATGACCAAAAATGACGGAGTATTTTAAGAGCAAGTGAGCACACCGGCACCTCCATCTGTCCTGCAGTGAATGCTGTTCAGCTTCACACTCCGCACAGACACTTGAACAGGGCACATTTCTCTAGGTACCATTAGATTGAGCGGTCATGTAAAGTTGCTAATACAAGTATTACATAAGTTTACATATTTCAGATAATAAGGCATATTTGAGGTTGATGAATGATAGGCGAGCGTTTGAATGTCCTGCCCGATGTACTGTATTACCACATAGACCAGCTGTTAACGATCTGTTAGTCACGGACTGTGTGACTTCGCCTGTGGAATTTTTTTTTTTCTGTGACTAAGCGACTAATACAATTTTGGTTGACCAAGCCTCTTCTGGTCGACTATTAGGGGGCAGCCCTAGACAAAACTAAAGACTCTTTGGAGATATGCAGGATGCAATACTACTCTATAGGTACTGAGATTGGCGCAAACTGTGTGTGTTATGTCCCCTTTAGTCCCATTTGGAGTGACAGCCACCTAACTACAAAACGACTAAAAAACTTCCCAAAAGCTCAGATAGTAACTGAAGTTTCATTAAATTTGTGCAGTATGTACAGAACTGAACTGAACAACTAGTTATTTAGATGCATTATGTAAATTTGTAAAGTCCATTAAAGTTCTTGCTTAAGGTTCACCGCACAACCAGAGCTAGTGGAATTAGTTTCCATATCCTTCAACAATGCCATGAACTTAATTACTAATCCACCTTAAGCAAGGGTGTCCAATCCTGCTCCTGGAGGGCCACCTTTCCACAACCTGCTCCAACGTACCTGCCTGGAAGTTTATAGCTATCCTGAATATCTTGAATAGCTGGTTCAGGTATGTTTGCTTAGGGTTGGTGCTAAACTCTGCAGAAATGTGGCCCTCTAGGATCAGGATTGGACACTCCTACTTTTGAACAACCTGAGGTCAAGGGCTTCGCTTAAGAGTGCAATGATCATGATTTGGGTTGTCACCAGTTTGACGGCAGCCAAAAGTAATCTCTCTGACAATCCGACCCAAGTCCCAAAACTCAATATACAACAAGTATGAGGGGGTACAGGTACTGTCAAGATAAAAGTAGAAGAAACAAGTACAACCATATAGATAAGATTTGTGAAGCCATAACTTCAACCCGTCAACGGATGATCACCTTGATGAGGTTGTGTAGGAGCATTACAGGAGACTTCAAGTCACAAATTTAGCTGTGGAGAGCTCAGAAAAATCTAAGAAGATGTTCAAAAACAACAACAGGCTAGATTGGGGTGCCCTATCAAGCCCAATTAAACACATCTGAATCAAAGTTAACAAGATCTTCAGGATTACTAGAATCTTCCAGGCAGGTATGTTGGGACAAGTTGGAGTTAAACTCTACAGGATACTCATCCTCCAGGAGCAGGATTGGACACCCCATGGTTAGATGCAGGAACGAATTGTACGGTCGGAAAAATGATTTCAAAACATCAGATCATGGATCACACCATGTGCGAGCCCTTTAGCTACACCACCTTCCATTGTCTTACATTTGCTGTTCCTCCAGAGTCAAAGTTCACTCCTTAGGTGGACTTTGTTCTTTGAGTACTTGAAGTGTTTCCCACAGAGTTACTGATTAACTAGAACTTCTGTGATTGGGATGGAGAACAGCACAGACAAGAGACAGATGAAGGGAATAGCATTGTATTGCCAGGAAAATGAGATGAGTAGCATCCTTTTGACTGACACTGACACCATTGTCTGTCTCTTCTTGTCCTCATCTACATTCACTTCATCAATCCACACATAAATATTTGCACGCACATGGAAATGCAGTTTTCAAATTTGTTTGAATTTGTTTGAAAGGTCCCAAAGGTCTGAGCCCGCCTGAGACTCGTCAGAACCAAACATCATCAACAATCATATTTTTAAATGGAATATGAACCAGTACTTGATACAACACCAACCCTATAGAAGAAGTAATAACACCATCTACGTCATCGTAGTAGTGTTATCTACTCTTGTTTCATTCTGTAGTCTCTAATGTCTTTAACCTCTTTTCTGATCCTTTTTTAATCAGCCTTATGTCTCAGGCCTCTTTCTCTTTGTCTCGTGTTCTTTTTCACTGCCCGTTCCCTTCTCTGTCTTTGACCAAACGAGTATGTGTATAATTGAATTCAAAAAGAAGGAGAGGTTGTTCTTTTCAAAACCTAAGTCACTCTCTGTCAGCTTAACTTGTCAGTTTTGATTTAATTTAAGGGTGATTCTTCAACTATGGGAACTTTTGAGCACGTTAAATTTAAGAAAATGTATAGATATAAAGCACATATGCATGCAAATAGAGAATTACGTCATTTGTTCTCTATTCTAAAAGTCATGGAAATTCCCACCACAGTGTAGTTTTCGTCACATCTCAAATGCCATTTTCTGTTCAATAGCATTCAATACTATATTTAAATGACATTCATCTGAAAAAAAAAAACACATTTCATTTAATTTCCAGCTAAAAACATCCTACTAAACAAGTCTAAACTCTATCTCTCTGTTCTTTAGAGGTTGCTTTGTCTGCCTACCTGGGTACTCTTGGATGATCTGATACGGATGTTTTTCTACCAGACTGAGTCGGATGGCCAACAGGTCCCCCGGGCCCTGCGCCGCTTGCGGCCCCCCACACGCAGAGTGTAGGAGCCTACCCACAATCCCTAATTTCTCCTTCCAGCACTTCACTGTGTACTTTTACAGGATTCTGCTGTTCTGCTAACTTTCTGCTGCCATTATTCAATAGATAAGTTTTGTGGCTCTGCCAGTCATGTCTATGCGTTTAATTTCTTGTTTAATGTGATTAAATCGAGAGCAAATGGAAAATGTAGCTGCTCCTGTGTCTATAAGAGCTCAGTAATGTCTCAGAGTAGGTGGTTTGACAAGATCCAAATCAAATGTTCTAAGACCAATTTATCTGAGCTAAGGAGTTTTTGGAGAAACATCCAAAATTGATTTAAATGAAACCAAATTTTTGTTTTTAAATATGCTATTATATTGCAATAATTTTACTTTCAATCTTCAAATTAATGTAGAAACAACATAAAGACAAAAAATATTTTTAATATTTGTTTAATGGCATCTTTTTATGTTATTTATGGAAATTGTTATTTTTTTCCTAATATTTAACCATTGACTATGGCCATTCAACATTACAGTATAATTGAGAGCTATCAATTTTAACATTAATTATAATAAAAAAAATAACAACTTCTAAATGAAGTGAACTTAAAACAATCTTCACATAAACCCATTATAATAAATGTCATATTTACCTGTGCCCTTAAGCAAGTAGGAAATATACAGAAATTGAAT